ACTCTGGTGATACGACCCATCACCTCCTCTTCCTTTTGTACCTAACAACTTATTGCATTGTGGGCCCAAGCTGCAACACTAGGAGCACAACTTGTTAAACTACTGCTACTCTAACTGCTGACCTCCCAAAGAGGCCTTTCCATGCTCTTTTAGGAGCCTATTCCTATTCTTTTGGGCTCCTGAGATGGTAAGTTCTCAAATTGAGGGGCTCCATAGCTTCAGGGGCTCCCTGACTCAGGGTGTTTTTCTGTGATTATAGGGTATGCTGGGTGCTTTAGGTTGGAACTGCAACTGAAGGTAAGCGGGGCAGGAAGGAGGAGGAGCCAAGGGAAGAGGCTGCAGCTCTGACTCTGATCTTGACAGCTAGGACAGCAGCAGTTCCCCACCCCACCCTGTAGGTCCCATGGGGACAACCTTCAACAGCAAGAGGGCAAGTGACATCTGTGCCAACAGCACTGCTTGCCCTGCTACTGTTTGGCCCAGGGGGCAGGGAACGTTAGATGCAACAACTGCAGGATAAGGGTATCTGATGAACCACTTATAATTTACCATGCTCCTGGACCAAACCATCTCAGATCAAGAGTGAAACATGTAATTCCTTTGACTCCTCCACGGGAATAAGGGGCACTGGAAGTGCCAGAGGGCTATAGGTTGGGAGTAAGGTGTCCCCCTGACAGGTGTCCTCTTTTTTGTGCTCCCCAGAGGGAACCACAGAAATACCTACTCACCTCAGCCACATACACACTTGCCAAAGTTTGTGTTGATACTAATAGTAGGCAGAAACCTGATCATCGTGATTGGGCTTTTCTGCAAAAAGAACAGTCCACTGAGTTCTGCATCAAAAGCAGTTAAAATGATTCTTTATTAATATACAAGGCTAGTAACATTTAAACTAACAGCGAACAGAAAATATTAATTGAAATGAAGCATAATATACAGCATACAAGGCTAGGTCATAACATGGCATCAGTGGAGAACAGCAAGTCCACCTTTTCATATGCACATGAGAACAGCTATGTCCCCCACATGAAATGGCTTGTTATTAGCATCTTCTGTATTTTAACAACTAAACAGAGATGAGACCGCTGCTCTACACAAAAGATGACATTGGAAAGTATTTTATAGTGATAATTATATTTTACTACATTCACAGAGTTCAAAGGGGTTAAAATAATTATTTGTTCTGGAAACAGCCAGTTTATTTTCACCTCAGGAGGCTCACTCTCTTTGGAAGAAAAGATGAAGTGGTTTGTAACGAATGGGGAATTCAAGTGCTAATGTAGTTGGCTGTAGGTCTGTCCTGCATTAGTTGCATCCATTGCACAACATTCATGGGTGTAAGGCACTATGTATTGTTTTCACAGTTTATTATCGATGTTGGCACCATTATCAATGTTTTCACAGCTTCAAAACTACTGCCCTGTAGTAGAAAAGCTTGACATTTTAAAAACCTGAAAAAAAGTTTCTACCCAGCCCTTTAAACTCAGTACCTTGGAGGAAAAAAATGTAGATTTTAAAAGGATGACATTTTTGATGGGCAAAAAAATTTGTTTTCATTCTCGCACGCACCCTAAGAATGCCACACAAAATGAGATGCCTAACTCTATACAGAGTTCAGATGGTGGCAGTCTGCTCAAAGAATCATTCTGTCTCATGTCGTAGACAGTGTAGTTCTGGCAATAAG